TTTCCCACATTCTGTACATTCATAGGGTTTTACTCCACTGTGTGTTTTCACATGTTTTCTAAAGTATTTGGGACAACTGTAGGATTTCCCACATTCCTTACACACATAAGGTTTCTCTCCAGTGTGGATCCTCACATGTCCTTGCAGGGATTTGAGATAGGGGAAGGCTTTGCCGCACTGCTTACATTCATAGGGTTTTTCTCCACTGTGTGTTCTCATGTGTTCTCGAAGGTAAGTGCACCAACTGAAAGCTTTGCCGCACTGCTTACATTCATAAGGTTTCTCTCCAGTGTGCATTCTCACATGTTCTCGGAAGTGTGAGATGCGAGTGAAAGCCTTTCCACATTCTTTACATTCATAGGGTTTCTCTCCAGTGTGAGTTCTCACATGCCGTGCAAGTTGGCAATAATAACTGAAGGATTTTCCACATACTTCACACATGTGGATTTTCTGTCCATAATGACCTCTCTCATGTTCCTGAAAAGATGAGGGACAAGTGAGAGCTTTTCCAAACTTCTTACACTCTAAAGACTGTTTACTACGGTCACTCTTCACGCACCTCTTAGATGCTCTCCCAGCATCCTGATGTTTTTCGGGTTTCTCTACAATGTCTGTTTCCCTGGGAGGGCTTAGGCACGATATACAGCTGAAGGCTTGCCCACGTTCTTCACATGGATAATGTTTGTGTCCAGGGTGAGATCTTTGCTGATTCTTCTGGAAAGAATGATCCCTGAAGGCTTTTCCACACTTAATGCATTGATGTGGCTGAATTCCAGTCCAATAACTCTTATGCACAGTAAAATCTATAATCTGATTCAGGGTTTCTAGACATTGATGACCTTCTTTACCTTCACAGAGACTCTCCACCAAATGATTTCTGTTCAAAATAGGAAGCACAGTATTAGGGATTAATGATTATAAGTGATTTCTTAATTATTGATTTGTTGATGGTTATTCATTATTATTTTGACTACACATTTGCCATTTTCAATGAATGGGCATGTTTTCAGCACTCTATGCATTGTGACAAAGTGCAACAAGTTTAATGCTTCAGCTGAGGGCTCAAGCAGAGCCATAACTTTCAGTGTTTTTTACATACGAGGTTTCCTGACCAGTGTTTCCTACTGAATTAAGTTTTAGGAGCTCCATACCTACATCACATTTATAAAAGTAGTTTTGTAAGAATTCTGTGAATAGACAATTGTTTAGCTAAGTTTACACTTTTTCTTTAATTTTAAGTGAGTCTAATACTCTGCCGAGATTCCCCTTCCCCTTGTGGGAGTGCCACTCACCTCAAACGCCTCTCCTGAGTTAGATGCTGATCTTGCATGTTATGAAATGCCCAGTTTTCTCCCAAAAAAGACCTGGAATCATTTCTTGTGAATCTTACTACTTTCTCTTCACTGCATAGTCCAGTCTCCAAAATATCCCAATGAGTACTTGATCTACTGGTTTTAACTTGAGAGCAAGAACCTGCAATAATTGGTAACATAATTAAATCCATGGGAAAGAAATGGTGGGATAAAGGAAAAAAAAGAGACCACATGTAGATTTCTTTCCATTCACTAATTCAAAAATGTAAAATAATTTTATAAAGGAAGGAAGAAGATGTGTGATATATCAGAAATATATATATATATATATTTGGTCATTCAGATGACCAACATATATTTCTCAGATAAATCGGGTCCTTATCCACAGTTTCCTGCTCGGGGATCCTAAAACCCTTGGAATTTCCTGAGCAGTAAAAGCAATGGAATAATATGTGGTCTCTTGTGCTCATTTCCAGAAAACGCTTCAGGATCAGAAAGGTGAAATAGGTGTCTTGTTATTCATAAAAAGCCCTTTCCATCCCAATTGGGTTTATATTAATGAAAAAAATTGTTAGAAAGAAGTATGGGGGCTGGTTGCCAATGGAGACACCATGTGATTAAAGGGTTGAAACTTTCAATCCCATCCACACTCCCAGACACCCCAACACCTCTGGGGATGGGGGAGGGGCTAGAGATCAAATCCACTGCCAATGGCCAATGATTTCATCAACCATGCCTATGTAATGAAGGCATGAAAAAAAAGTTCAGAGAGCTTCTGGGTTGATGAACACGTGGAGATGTGGGAAGACTGGCACCTGGAGAGGCACAGAAACTCCTTTTCAAAATCTTACCCTATGCATCTCTTACATCTGGCTGTTCCTGAATTATATCCTTTTAAAATGAACCTGTGATCTAGTAAGTAGTATGTTTCTCTGAGTTCTGTGAGCCACACTAATAAATTAGTTGAACCCAAGGAGAGGGTCATGGGAACCTCTGATTTATAACCAGTTGGTCAGGAGGACAGGTAAAAGCCTGGACTTGAGATTGGCATCTGAGGTGGGGGAATATGGAGTAAGTCTTAAAGGACTGAAACCTTAAGCTCTGGAATCTGTGGCTATCACTGGGTAGATGGTGTCAGGATTGAGTTGAATTCTATGATGTGCTGCTGGCCCAATAATTGTTTGTTGGTGTGAGGTGCTTTAACACATGTGCACATGCACACACACACAAACACACATTAGAATTGGGTCCAAAACAAAATTAACACCCACACACCCACACACACATTGGAATTGGGTCCAAACCAAATTTAACACACACACAAAGAAAAACTCTGAGGACCTCAGCTATTTGGAACTTTAGCCATCATAGGGAAAATGAGTCAAAATGACAGACTCTTCACTAAGAAATACTTCAGAAGAGATACTTCACAGAAGCAAAGCAGGCAGGAACTGGGCAAAATACACACTCCTAAATGCTCCCTTCGTAAGAGGAGCTACAGAAAGACTTCTGAAGTGGGCAAAGATGGATGAAAAGTCCAACAGGGAAGCCAAGTCACCTTCTCAAACACAGAGTGACAAACGTCACCTTCTCAAAGACAGAGGCATGTTTCTAACAGTTATGTCCAAATATCTCTCCCTGATACAGAACCTGCTCCTCCAGAGAGGTGTGCCCTCCTGGTGATCGCAGGCACAGAGGCCCTAGAGGAAGCCTATCTCCAGTGACCCAGCTGCCACTAGGAGATCAGATGGTGCGTGGCTGCTGTCCTGCTCGTGGAGAAAAGCTTCTCAGGGGGAGGATGGAGGACAACAAGCCCTCCATGAGATGGGCCGATTCTCTGGTCCTCATGTCATTGAGGATGGGTGAGTTTGGGTTTAACTGCAGCAAGATTATCAGGTCAAATGTGTACTGATCGCAGTGTAACTTTCACAGGTTGAAAACCGTAACGCTGCTCTCACTGCCCCAAAGTAACACTGGAGACCACGCTCACATTTACACAATTAGGGAGCCTCAGGATTCTGATCAAGAGCAATAAAAATCAATTCAATATAGAAATATTTATGGTCATGGAAAAGCTATTTGACTCTAGGTAGGTTCTATAAAGGTGGGGACCACGTCTGCCTGTTTTTCAACATATTTTTATTCCTTGGTTCCAGTAAGAAAGAACATTGTAAGAAATATTTGTTCCCTAAAGACTAAGTGCAGGGA